TGACATTGACACAGTTCAGCGAATGAAGAGACGTTAGCTACGTGGCTAGGTCATGTTGGTCTTATTAGCAACCGCTCTCCAGCTTAGAATTTTATCTGTCTGAAGTGAAAAAATTTAAAAGGAAAATTTCCAAAGATTTTGTGTCTTTTGTGGCGCAAAGCAAAAGTACTTTTTAACGGTTTAGGAAAATTATTGAAATTAGATATCAATAAAGAAGAAGAAGAAATACTGAATCTAATCATTCATTTCATTTCCGTTCGAAGCACTTTTCGAACTTAACACTTTACTATGTATGCACATGCATATACGTGTATGCATGTATGGATATGATGGAAAAATATCACTTGCACTCATTATCAGTTCTGCATTTTGCTAATCTCCGTTGAAGTGAGAGTCAATGACCGACCGTACACTTTCAAACAGTTTGCCACAAAATTTTAATATTGAAAGTGTGACTTTTCTATTTACACTCTGAAGAAGTTACGAATTATATTTATGTATGTATCTATATTCCAAACATATATATATGCAAGTATATAAATTTTTTAATGAGTACAGCGTGCATATTGGTTCATTTGCATGTACATTGATACATATGTATATAGTGCATTTCAACATATCGCTGTAAATAACTTCTTATATACATATGTATATATATGTATATATTTTAAAGCTCTCAAGTACAGCTCATAAAATTTATAATTATCAAGCAGTTGGGCAGTCGACCTTCCTGTAATGTAATCGTCGTCGCCTTTCGCGTACTTTAAGTTTTTGTTTTTGCCTTTTCTTTTATTTTAATTTTATTTTTATTTTTGTACTTTTCATTATTGATACTTTTTTCTTATTAATTTTATTTTTAATTTTTTTTGTATTCCTGCTTTTCATTGCCAGCAAAATGTCATGTATGTACATATGTACATAATTTAAGTTTTTTTTTATAATTTTTTTTTCTTTTTTTAATTTTTAAGTGTTCGTAGATGTGCAAGTGTTTCCAAAGATGGCTCATTTACTTAACACTCATTGTGCCACTGAGTTGTTTACTTTTGGAGTTGCCACGCTACTTATAGACAGTTGTTACATACCTACATGCAGACATATGTACATAATTACGATTAATGCTCGTAGACATCGCACACTTGAAACTATCAATATCGTTAATATTAAAAAAGAAAGGAGAAAAAAATCGTAAAAAGAAAGAAGCATCGCCGAAGGCCTTATACCTCTCATGAGTGGGATATAAATTGCCTTGAAGAGTATACTGACAGTCTTTAAGTGATCAAGCGATTTCACCTTTTTGCTGTCGGATTTGTTGAGGAAGATCATGAAACTGAAGAATCAGCACATATGTATATACAATGCAGTAGCAAATTTCTTTTGACTTGGTGAGTTGCTTGTCTTCATCAAATCAGCCATTATAGACAGAGAGAGAGAGACGATCTGATATGTATGTGTATAGCATTCTAGCTCTCGGTTGGGAATATCAACCCCTTCAAGTATTTTTCTATATACTTTCATAATAAGAAATAAAAGCTCCTATTAAAAATCCTTCAGCTCGGCTCGGCTCTCAATTATACGGGACCAGGCCTAGAAAAATAGTAATATCGAACATAAAAGATATCAAAAATTAAAAAATTAAATGAAAGCACCACTGGCAATGAGAAAATCAAAGTCAATATATATACATATATACTGTATGTACCGTTATCGTGTAAAGCAGTTACTGTATCCAATTCATCAATATTAGCACGGACAGACAATCAATGGATAAACAGTATTGATAAGAGTACTAGAGTACTTTAAAATGGAAAAGAAAAAAGTGTCCGGGCTACACTTGTAGACACTTCAATATGTGCTTTTCTATGATATGTCAGGGGCACATACATACATAAAAGTGAAGATAACGATCAGCTACTTTTTAGCTCAGTGTGGGTGCTTGAGTTTTTTATATATATATATTTTTTTTGTTTTGTCCTTCTTTACTTCTTTGCCAAATTGATTTCAAGTGTCTGCATTGTGCTCCAGTCAAAGTGGAAGAATGATTGTTATTATTTATATCCAAGTGCGTGATGTATTATTATATTAATAATTAATTACCTTTAATTGAATCGTAAATATTAATTTTAGTCACAGCGGTTCATTTCGAGTATACGATTTGAAATTGTTGAGGACTCGTGCAATAAAATGACTTATGAAACTATTAATCTAATATTTTGATCCACACTTATTGTTTTACAACTAGAGTATTAGGGAATTAAAGTTTATTGAGTGTCGGTTTATATATATAATCTACTTGTCTATAATTTTTTTCATTTTTTCTTGCGATTTTTTTATTTATTATTTTTCTATTATAAATATGCATTTTTTTATTATTCACTTTTTTAATTTCCTAATTTTATTATTTTATTTCTTTTTATTTTAATATTTCATTTGCTTTTCTTTATTTTATTTGTTTTTTAATTTTTTAATTTTTTTCATTTAATTTTTTGTTAATTTTTAATTTAGTGAATTATTTATTTATTTATTTATATATATATATTAATTATAGTCAACTTTATTATTATTAATTTTTTATTGTATACATGTACATATATACATACTTTTAACATTTTAATTTATTTTTGAACTATTTTTTTTCAATTTCTTTCTTTTTTATTTTGGTTTATTTGGTTTTATTTGGTTTTTATTTTTATTTCCTTCATTTAATTTTTTATTTAATTATGTTTTTCTTAATTTCAATATAATTTTTATGTTAATTATTTATTTATTTACACATATATGTATATACTAATTATTAATAATATAACATATAATTTTTTATTTTTAATAGTATTTATTAATTAATTTATTTATTTTCTTAAAATATCACTTTCAATGAGAAGATCAAAGAGAATATATATACTCGTATATATATGCACCGTTATCGTGTAAAGCAGGTACTGTATAACCAATTCAACAAAATCAGCACGTACAGACATTTTATATATTTAATCTACTTTTCTATTTTTATTTCTTTTATTTATTAATTTTCTATTATATGCAATATAAATTTTTTAAATTATTTGTTCAAATATTTTTAATTTTTTTAATATTCATTTCTTATTCATTTAATATTTTTCATTTATTTTTACTTCTTTTTTATTTCTTTAATTTAATTTTTAGTTCATTATTATTTTATATTTATTTTTATTTTAATTAATTATTTATTAATTTTTTGATATATATATATTAATTTTGAATTATATATAATTTTTTTACTTTTTTACGTTTATTTTTTTTATTTAATTTTTAATTCTAAAATTTTTTTATATATTTTTTTTGAATTAATTATTTATTTTATATATATTTTAATTAATCATTATATTACATTTTTTTTTAATACAATAGTATTAATTCATTTATTTTATTTATTTATTTTTGTAATTAACATTATTTAATTTTTTTTATTTTTTGTTTTTGGAAATCATTTTTCAAGGCGCAGAAAGGGATTTTGAAATATAAATTTAATAGTTTTTTATATGGAATTTCTCCCAATAACCATTCAAGAAACATTTGAGGTTAAGGCTGAGCCATATCCCGTAAGATATAATATGAGCTGATATACAGTATCAAAGGATATCGAGTTGCCTGATAGAAATCCTGTGTTATGAACGACAGCCAGCTCTTTTTGATCGCGACGCACTGCTGTAGCTGATGGTCGCATAATCGTACTGTTGAAGAACTATAACAGCTAAGTCAATGGCGCCTTTTATCGGTATTCTGTAGATCGTTGTTCATGAGAATTCATTTTCTGCAGATAGATTGACTTAACTGTTAAATAAACCATACCAAAGATTAAAACTCATAACTTTTATGCTCTGTCTTAAACCTGAAACAGAACCTTCTTTCTGAAAGAAGTTGATTATAGTATTGATTTAATAGAAGAACATCCACCTGCTACGTAGATCAGCTGGCCAACTTTTTGCCACAAACCGTGAGTACGGTCAGCGCAGCTCTGATCGAACGGGAAATTAGACACGTGGCATTCATGCATTTTTCATGAGTTTTATGTGTTTGTTTTGAAAAACTTTCCTATAGCTTTTAAAAAATCATCCTTTACATAATAGAGCGGATAATAAAAAATAGGTCAGAAAATAACCAACGATTTAGTTGAAGCTGAAATTTTCGCTTGAATTACTGTATTAAAAAAAAGCGGCGCATTTTGGCTATTTCCACTCTACAATTTTTTAAAATAAATATTTGTATGCTATGAAGAAATATGTTATAAATATATTTATCTGAAATATGCAAATATAAAATTTTTTTTATTTTTATAAAAAGTAAATATGTAAAATTTTTGATTATTACAAAATTTTTAAATGGATATAGTATGTATGTAAATAAAATTTTAATTAAAAATTATAATTAAGTTTTTTTATTTTGGCAAAATATTTTTTGTAGAAATATCGATTTGCTACTATATTATATCAACATTACATATGTATGTATATGCGTATGCATATATTGATTAATTTATAATTCAACATTAACTAATTCCAATAAACAAATTTACAAATCACAATGACTTAAATATAATACTTTCAACATCGATTACAACAAAATACAAACAATTTTCAAGGTGCATGCCATGCATACTCGTACATACAAACATAGCTACAAACAAAGTTAAATAACATGTGTAAATATATTTACATGCATACATACGTACATATGTATATGTAAACATGCAATAACGAAATTGAGTTATTAGATTAATAATAAATATTTTAATAAGCATTCAGCATTGACTTACATTACAAAAAAAAAAATAAAAAATAAATAAAAAAAATAATAATAATAATTATATTTAGTAATAAAACAGTAAATATAATTAAGTTATTGCATAAATACATATGTACATATATACATATAAAGTTTTTGTGCATATCTATACAAGCAATTATCCACATTTGGCTGGGTTTGTGTAATTGTGTGCTGTTTAAAGGATTATTTTGTGTACTTACCGACGCACTGGCACGGCTAAATTGTCAACGCTGCGTGACATAAGCGAAACATCTTGACTAGCCCTACGTGACCTATGGTTGGTTAGTGTTGTTATATTTTTGTTTGTTTGGTTTTGATTTTTTGTTTGTTTTGTTTTGCGTATCAACCAACGAGCAAATCGAGTGAACATAAAAAATTAAAGAAAACAAAATTAAATAAAAACATAGAAATTATATTAAAATTGTTAAATAAAACATTAAAATGTTAAAAATATTATTAATTACATAAAAATAAATAAAATTTTTTTAAAATATAAACAAAATTGAAAAATATGCTATTATTATTTAAAATTTCCTTTCTAAAGTTTACAAAAAAAAACAGCGAAAGCTTGCTGTATTTTTTAGTGAATCCCAACTGCTAAGCTCCCCGTACACACTCCGCCCCCGCAAGTTAGCGTTTTTAGGTTTGGTCTAATCAAGATAATTAATAAATAAATAAAATCGCGAATATTCACCGACGACTGTCTTTTAGCGTAAAATACTAAAATTAAATTTACATAACCAAGATTATCAACTGAGGTTATCAAACTCAAACTCATAAATATATACATATGTACTCGTACATATTGTTTTTGGTATGAATTTTATTACATTAAGTCTAATAAAAAGATTCCATTATTTTTGCAATAAATGACTTTAGTGATCTGCATATCGCGTTCAATAAAGGTGCTTTGTACTAAAGAGATAACGAGAGAAGTATTGATCACGTGACTCTGTGGTAATTGAGCGCATGCAAAAGATATACACCAACTATGAGAACCAACGCCATATTCTGCAATTTCTCTTCGGTATTCGGCATTGCGTACTGTCATTCGGAAGGCTCGAGTTCAAGTCCTGGTGCGACCAACATTCATAAATTTATATAGAAAAATTAAATTTTCTAATTGCGGTCGGCCCTTGTCAGGGAATGTCAACACCTCCAAGTGTAATTCTGACAAGAAATAAAGGCTACTCGTAAAAACACCAGCAGCCGTTCGGAGGCGGCTTAGTATAAACTGTAGGTCCCTCCATTTGTTGGAAAAACTTCAAAACGCAAAACCACAAATTGCAGGAGGAGCTCGGCCGAAAATCGCTTCCGCGGTTGCAAAGTGCCATATCACACAGCTGATATTGTAACTTTAAATCATTTACAATTTTGGTTTCGTCGATTTCGTTCCGGTGATTTTGTTGTAAAACCTGCTCCACGATATGGACGACCAATTGCCGAAAATGCCGATAAAATAATGGAAATCGTCGCGTTTGACCATCAGGCGAGCACTGTTTTGATTGCCCAAGAGCAAAAAGTTGTGCAAAAACCATTTTGGAACAACTTGCAAAGGGCTGGATGCACAAAGACCCTCGAAGTGTTAGGATGCCTCATGAGTTAAAAAGAAAAAATTTCACGGACCGAATTTTCGTCTGCAAATCGCTGCTGAATTGTAAATAAATCAACCCCATTCTGAAGTAGGTGGTGACTCTTGATGAAAAGTGATTCAGTCATGGTCGAAGGGTAGTAATCCGGCAGGGAGCAAGGTCTGCAGATCTCCAAGTAGTTTCTCATCGTTACAGTCACATGGGGCCTTGCGTTGTCAAGTTGCAAAATCATGTCATGCTTTTTGGTCGATTCTGATCCCACTTGAACCCACTCGGTCTTCTGCGCTGAATTCAAAACCTTTGTGCCAAGATTGGCTAGGTTGCCCAATCGTTTTTTTCAAAATGGCATAAAAAGTGTCTGAAATTATGACAAATTTCAACAGCCAATTTTTTTTCTCGAAATTCTCTCACCTTTTAAGCTTGTCGTCGTCGTGTTTACCGTTCTTAATAAAACATTAATTGCTTGAAATTAACATTACAAGAGATTTTACGGAAATTGAATTTATTTACTTATGCGTTTTTTTGTTTGTTTGTTGCTTGGAATCTTATTCTCATGCAAATGGCTGATGAAAGACAGATTTTACTATTTACCAGAAAATTGCTGAGTAAATGATGATTTTGTTGCTTAAATTAATTCTGTACCGTAATTTACATATGGTGACGTTATTTTGTCTGATTTATGCAACGCTAATAAATTTATGAATTTTTTCGCAAAAAGAAAAAAAAAACGTGAAAGTCCGATGCTTGAAAATGGAATAAAAAAACTTACAAACGAATTATAAATAAAAAGTATTTATACACACATGGAGCGCGTGTCATTAAATTACTTGTAAATTGATAGAAAAAATATGTAAAAATATTTAGGCGGAGTTTAAACGACTGCTCGCGCTAAGCGATACCAAGGGGTACCGCAACTATAAGAAAGCTACGCACGAAATTGGGCCGAAATAATTCGCATTTCAGGCAGTTTGTGGATTTATTTGTGTAGCCAAACTCTCGTTCGTACCCAGTGCTTTTAGAGGAATATATTTCTGCAGTAGCTCAAAGTTAGCTCGAACAACCATCAACATCAACTCTACACTATGCGCAGGAGTTCAACTTTTCGCGCACTTCTTTGCGCAGGTTTTTGCATTAAGACTTCGGTATGAAGGTTTATAAAGTCCAATTGGCTTACAAACTAAAGCCTCATGACTATTCCAACTGAATTCGCTTCGTTCGTTTGGGTGATGATCATTCGACAAAAGCGGAATCTTTTAAAAGCTTCTGTTGAAACTCATCTACACCTCATCGGAAGGGCGGGGGCTACTTTAGAAAGCAAAACTGACGCATTTGTGGGGCTCAGAAAACCCACACGTAGCCATGAAAAAGCCAATGTATCCTCAACGAGTGATTATTTAGCGCGAAATTTGAGCCGGCGGCATCGATGAAAACGGCAAGGAACTACCGTTACCGGTCTTGCCCTTCCTTAACGCGCAATGCTCAGCGGTTATTTGTTTCGAAATTTTGGATACAATGATAAGAATGATGTGTGGTTTCAGCAGGATGGCAATACGGGCCTACAGTCAACGTTAGTGTCGATCTTTTGGGCATTAACTAACCGAAAGAGCGATGTGAACTGGTTGCTTTGCAGTTGCGTTTTGACTTCTTTTGGCTATATTTTGTGGGTAGTTGTTGAGGATAAGTCCAAAGGCGATACATAACTTCAAATGCAAAATTGAGGTCGTGATTGCCATGGTTTGAAAAATCGGGTCCAAAGAGAGAATGAAATGGGCTACTGCAAGGCCATTTTAAATTAAAGAAGGTTGTTTTTTTTTAATACAAAAAGCACGATTTTCTCACTATAAATTTAGTCCCGATCCGGTTACTCGCCATAACCGATTACTGTCACTAACGGCGGTGAGTGTTAACGCGCCTAGCCATTGTGGCTACGTGACGTAACGCACATGAACAGTAAACTTGCGAGACATGGGCTTTTCGTAAGCTTTTAAGTGAATATTTATTTAACACAGCTTACATATACATATACTATATATATGCACATAAACGGATCCACCGACTTCTTACATGGAACTGCCCCTGTTGTTTGCTTGCCGGCTATGGCTGACTGCCGTTTTGTTTTTGCCTGCTCTGACTGACTAACGTACATACATATGTATGTATGTTTTTCACTACTCATTTAGTAGTAAATAATACTAATTATTACGCGTACATTGTACTTACTCGCGCGCAGTCACGAATCAGCACAAGCTCTGTCTGACCGAATCTTCGTTGACCCTAATTAAGTAAAAATATTATTTTTGTTTAATTTTTGTTTTGTTGCCGTGTCACCAATGTGGCTGTGAGTTGTATGAGCTGAATGTAACACGTGCTCACACACAAAACCTACGAATTATTTTACCCGCCTGCCTATACATGGCGGCGTTGTTTATTTACTGAGTTAAAAAATTATGAGACCAAAAATTATAAATAATAATAAATAAGGAAACTCTTTGCGCTTTAAATGGAAATGACCTTTAAGCTGGCATATTCACTGCATGCAAATTACTTTTTATTTACTTTTGGAAAGTAGTTATTTTCCAAGCGCTCGTACAGACTTCAGGTAAGCTGGTGAGCAGCGGGTTTTAGTAAATTTTGAATAATTTTACATAAATGCCAGTCTTTCCTGGGGGAAATAGATAAGATTTTATATACAAAGGAATTTAATTAAAATTTAAAATATATGTATATACATATAAATAATGGACGCAGCCCCGAGCACCTAATATCAACTCGGAGTCGCATTAATCCGCAATTCACTGTGTGTGAACTGTGGAGCGGCCTTACAGGTTTCCTACGTGCCACCGCTGCAGTAATATTTGGTTTTCGACAATGTCGAGAAAAGAGCTGGCAGAATGTTGCATATCGAACTACATTAACAGACAGAAAAAAAGGCAGAGCTCGTAACATCGACTCGGATCACTTTCCCGCTATTTCCTACACGATCATGGCGGTTGTTAAGCCAATACTTTTTAACGCAGCTTTAATATGGTGGCGAGTTATGGACAAAACAATATATCTGGAGAGGCTGAAAGGAGTATTCAGGCTATCAATGATCAGCCTCACTGGGATACTCATTACCAGCAAACCTGGCAGCTAAAAGTCAGGGTCTACTAGCGTTACGCCTAACCGTACGAATAGACTGCGTAATACCACGCCTTACTTTAAGCATGCTGTTTTCATATAAAGTAGAGGCAAAAGGCTGGAGGATGGTTTTGAAATGAACGAATGAGTCAGCCCAACTAGAGATAAGGAAGTCGTATAAGTTACCAAACTATTGCAGTATCTTCCAAGCCAAAAACTTTGCTATAAAAATGGCGGCGAAGCTACTACAATCGATGTAGACAGCCCAGCGGTCACAAGGCCCTTAAACTCACACAGAACGAAGTCAGTTGCGATCGCATTATGTAAAGGGAGCAATTCAAGTACTGTCTAAAAACCGAAGAGTGGCTGACTAACTGACTAAGAAGGGTGTAAATTTAGCACAGGACGTAGTAATGAGCTCTCCATCCATTCAACTTCCTTTCAGGGAAGTGAATCAAAAGCAGCAAGTAATAAATACTAAGCTGACAAAGTTTGTACTATTTGTATAGAGACCGGACTAAAAGTAACTGGAGTCTCTTGCTTTTAATGTAGGTCTGACT